TAAGTTAGAAGAAGCAAAAAAAAGAAATCTGATTTTATTCTAAGAATTTGAAATAAAATGATTTAGTCAGAACTGAGCTTTATTTTCTTTCTTTTTAAAAAAATTTTGGCTGCGCTGGGTCTTTGTTGCAGTGTGCGGGCTCTGTTGCAGTGCATGGGCTTCTCTAGTTGCAGTGTGCAGGCTTTCTAGTTGCGACGCGTGGACTCTAGAGCGCGCGGGCTCAGTAGCTGCGGTGCACAGGCTTAGTTGCCCAGCGGCATGTGGAATCTTAGTTCCCGGACCAAGGATCAAACCCGTCCCCTGCATTGGAAGGCAGATTCTTAACCACTGGACCACCAGAGAAGTCCCAAGGTTTTATTTTCTACCTTTACACTATCTTAGTTTTTGGTTGGGTGTGAGCAAGTCTATCTAGTCTTTTTAAAATGTCTCTGTTTCCTCATCTGCATATTGGAGATAACAGCAACTACCTCCCAGCATTGTTAGAGGCAATAAACTTGCAGTAACTGTCAGTAAAGGCTTAAAAAAATATGAAGAACTGTATAAATAAAAAGAAATGTGATATTATTGTCATTAATAAGTGTGATTAGCTCTAAACAGTGTTATCTCAGATGATGCACAATAAATGTCTGAAAATGATGTTTAAATACTAGAGCCTGTTATAGATTCTTAAAGTATGAATCAACTAATTATTCCAGTGTGTTCCAGCACACCTTTTATCTTTCTGTGTTTATTCTTTTAAGAAATGCTAAAGCCAACTTGGCTAATGTTTTTTAGACTTTTGTTAGCCATATTATCCCTTTGGAAAGTTACATGTATGTCCCTTTGGAAACATTACTTCTACAGATGACTTTTCACTAATAATTCTATAATGTATTTTAATCTGACTTCATCTTGGACTATGATTTTTTTTCTATGTTGTGTGTTCAAGGGTGAAACTTGAAATATCTTGACTTTGTATTATGTTTACACTCATTCTTTCAGAAAATATTAGCCCAAATCTGTTATTTTACATTCAGTCTTAATTCCTGTTATGTTGATTACATTTAAAAATCTGATTTAAAACTTCTAAGATTTTATATAGTTTTTATCTATTTAAGCATTTTGGGAAAATTAATTTATTCATTACATTGAACTACTTAATTTAGATATATATTGTCATGGAAAAATGTACTTAAGGGATAGTTGTATGTGTTTTTTACTTTTGGTCTCTTAGTTCCAGCGTGTTGTCCTTTTTGGTTTTGTTTTATTGCTTTTTTCTTTAATTTTGCTTACCAGAGCCAAAGCCTTAGTAGAAGAACAACGCCTTTTGTTCCTAGGGTTCAGGTAAAGGCCTTGTCTGCCTGATAGAAACTAAAGTTGTGTTTTAACCCTTATTTGTATGTTTTTGGAAAATGCGTAGTAGGAAAACTTTTTTTGGTGTGTTGCTCCAAACCATATTATTGACTTTCAAATCATTTTATGAGCCAGCTTGTAAAATTCTGCATGGGGATTAAAATACAATAAAAATTTAAAGAGACAATCTTTGTTAGTGGTTTTATATGATGGACTGAATACTGAAACTCATAGGTTTATGGTTGGCATTTAATGTAGATTCCACTTACATTGGTAATATTGACAGAAATAGCTGATTTGATACTGTTGATATTTTCCTTTATTACACTAAGGTTGCTGTCTCTTTAAATCATTCATTATATCACTTAACATCTACATTCTCTTGCATTTTCCAAGCAATAACTCCTTGAGGAGATTGGCAAATAAATTTGTACCTTATCTAAAATATGAATTTTTTGCATGTTATATATAAGGTTCAACTTTTTGAAAGTACATTATTTTGAAAGAACAAAAGTCACAATCCAAATAAAATATGTTGGGTTTATTTTGTTTACATTTTGTAATTGTAATTCCATTTAATTTTACTGTAATACTTGGGTACAAGTTGTTTGCCTCTTTTCATTAGGAAACCCTTATATGGTAAAGTAATGTCAACAAAGTTTTTTTTTTTTTTAAAGTAGTATAATTCTTGCTTTGCTGCATGGTTTTTTTTGGTTGTTGCTCTTGTTGGTTTTTAATACTAATTTAGTTTAAATAAAAAAAATTGGAGTTCTAATTAACACTATGTAGTGTAAAATATTTACTTAGACTTATGTTCTGCTTGGGAAATTTAAAAGTGGTTACATGGAAATTGTATTAAAGCAATTAAAATGATATCAAGATTTTTATTAATGAAAATGAGGTAAAATAAGTATATCATATCTAGAATTGTGGAAACACATTTGTTTTATTTTGAAGAATCAACAGATATATTCTAATCATTCATTTAAAAAACACAGAGAAGATATTTAGGAATGTGATAAAGAATCTAGCAAATAAAATAATTCTTTTTTGATAGTTTAAAGTGGATATCTATTAAAAACTTCAATGCAAGTCCTGTAATATAAAATGAAAATTAAGGCTATTGATCAAATGCTGAGTTTGACAGTTTATTAAAAGGTATAATTTTGATAAAAAACTCAGTAAAATTAAAGTGTGCCTGTTTCATATCTATATTATTTTAATATTTATATATTTATAAAGTATAATTTAATAAACTAAAGTATTAATATGAAAATATGAAAGCCATATGCCTAATATCTGTTTGTGTGAGAAATGAATATTATTAATAAGTGATCTTTTTGGTTTTCCATGGCATAAGAAAATCTAAAAATAATACTATTTATCAGGCATTTGAAGCATATATCTTAAATGTTTACCTGTAATGATTTTAAAGAAGCAAAAATATTGCCAGTGGAAATGACAGCAAAGGTAGTCTCAATCCCTGAAAAAAAAAAACTCACAGAAATCAATAATTTGCTCCAATAACTATGAGCTTAGTCTAGTAATACATTTTCTTTGTTTTTTAAATGTACTATTTATTGTAAAACAATTTTTTAGCCTTTAAGAAGTTTTTTAATATCATGGAAAATAAAGCCATAAGGTTTTTTATTGATATAGAAAATAAAGAATATTAGAAGTTAATGTGGTTTTGGTTACAAATTTAGAGGAACCATGGTGCTCTCTGACAACACCTGTTTGATCTCATACATGAGACACTCTAGTATTTCTTACTTTTTTTCCCTCCCCTCATATCTTTTACCATAATGGTCTCTTTTTTCCATTTATCCTCATCTGTATCTTTGTTCTACTATTGTCAGGCAAGCAAATATTTGAACTCTTTTTTCTTTTTTTATAGGAATTAAAAAAAAATTATATTGGAGTGTAATTTACAACGTTGTGTTAGTTTCAGGTGTTGAACTTTTTTTCCCATTTAAATGTCAGAGGTTTTTTTTCAGGTTCTTGGTCCCCTAGTCTAAGGCAGTGGTTCTCAAGCTCTAATGGCAATGAGAATCACCTGGAGCACTTGTTAAAATGCAAATTCCCTGGGCCCCATTCTGATTCAGTAAGTGAAAGGTGGGCCACAGGAATTTGTAACTTTCCAGATAATACTGTTGCAGGAGTTTTGTGAACCACAGTTTAAGAAACACTTGTCTAGAGCCTGTACTTACCAACTGGATTCAAAAAACTTTTTGTTACACAGCCTCAGGGTAATACCTGCGTTAAACATAAGGACTTAACATAAAGAGAAGTAATAATCATTTTAAAAATTTAAATGCTTGAGGACTAATTCCATTTGACCGAAAAGAAAAGTGTATAAATAATTTTATATACTCTTCTGGGCCATTAGTCTTCTGACTTAAAAGTCTTTCTCGGCCTCTCATTCTCTAAGATATGAAGTGAGGGACTCAACAAAGCCATGTTAGAATTGGAACTGAACTACTGATATATCATATATACATATATTTATTTGTATGATTTTTATGTAGATGGTCTATATTTATTTATATATCCTAGAGCCTGGCCCAGAGCTGACTGTCTGCTTTGGAGAAGAGAGGAAGGGACTGACATGAGATGTATATTTAAGTTTTTTAAACTACCGCAAACATTGTAAATCCAAGTTAAAAGAAAAAAACCATTGGATACACACACACACACACACACACACACACACACACACACATATACACATATAAAATGAAAAATACATATTACCTAAATAGAACTTTTTCCCAAATTCCAAATTTCCGATTCAATTTCAGTTTCAAGATAGTGGTCAGAGATGTGCTGAATTCTGAACCGAATGTGGATCAGAGCCATAGTCATCATAGATCCTGATATGGTAAAATCAACTAGCTAGGTGTGGGAGTGTGAGGTATGTGTGTGGGAGGTGACAATTATTAAGTCAAATGAATTCAGCAGCTGAATGTGAAGTTCTAATCCTTAATTATGGCATAGGCAAATTATTCTAATTTTCTCATCTCGAATTATAAAATATACGCTTATTATTCTGAGGATAAATACATTTGCTTCACAAACAAAAAAAAAGACTTTATGTCTGCGTAAGAAATTTTAAAAGACGAATTTATTACAGTTTTAAATACAAACTTAAGGAGTAGATTTACTAAAGCTTCTAGTAATTCCCAGTTACTTATAATTTTTTAAAGGTCTTTGCTGTGGTATAACATAAAACATTTGCTTAAAAATTCCCTATGAATGCCATATAAGGAACTTATCTATTCAATTCATTTTGAGCACTTATTCTGAACTCACTATTGTAGGGGAACCAAAATGAACTACCGTGATTCCTGCATAAAGGTAGACACAAAGCAATCCTATATAAAGTCCTTAGTTATGGTAGTGTAATTATTATGTGCATGTTAATAAGCTATCAAATTAGATTATAAAAAGTTCAAGTGATTTATCAATCAAACTAAAATATCTGAAATAATTTCTCTGTTCATTGAAGTTATTATAGCATATCCTTTTACCTTAACTGCAATTTACGAAGTGAAGTTTATATTCTGTGCTAATATTAGTGTAAGAGAATGGGGCAAAGATTGGGAATGTAAACGTTATGTTATATTAGTAAATGTTTAAACTGATAAATGAATATTTTTGCTTTTCAGATAAAACTATGGTTTGACAAGGTTGGTCACCAATTAATAGTTACAATTTTGGGAGCAAAGGATCTCCCTTCCAGGGAAGATGGGAGGCCAAGGAATCCTTATGTTAAAATTTACTTTCTTCCAGACAGAAGGTAGGGATATGAAACAAAAATAAATGTTCTTGAAAATAAATGAGAAATGTTAATAGCAGGAGGTGTTTTGATTCTGTATCATTTATTTTAAAATATCATGCCAGTTAGATACTTATGAAGTTTAATATAAGCATAATGATTCTTAAGAATCAAAATAGTGACAGTAAATACTTTGAGATTGTTTTAAAACCTATGTCAAATGTTTATAATATAGATTATTTTATTAAATATTTATTTTAGATTGTGTGGTTTACTTCTTAAATAATGTATTTTTTTTAAATCAAACTCATTAAAATTATGCTCCTTTAAGTCAATACATTTTTAACATAAACTACAGAGGCAGAAAGCTGGAAATGGTACTAAAGGATACTCATCATGTTCCTCTATAATTTTTACCTCCTTTTACTAAGATATTATTTCTCTATATTATGTAAAATTAGTGAATGTGCTTTATATTTCACCACCCATATCACCAAGGAATCTTTACCACTGGGCCTAGAATCAGCTACCTAAAGTGTCTTTTGCTTTGTGTCCATGCTAATCAACATACATGATATTGATCTATCCTGATTTAAATAGAGGAATCAGAATAGGAGAAATAGCTTTTCAAAAATCATATAATCATTCTTAATTTCAGACACATACAAAATAGAAGAGATTATTCAATAAGCATCATAAAAAAAGAAAGAAGTAATGCACCAATTTCCGTTTCCCCAGCTCTTCTGCAACACTGGTTTTCAGGGCTGGGCTGTTCATTTTTCTCAGGTTGGAAGCAGCTGGGCACAGATGTGATCTTAAACATATTTATACACGTTTGGACCCTCTATTACTCAGTTCAAGTTAAAAGTCATCAGTGTTGAGTGCCAAAGTATCATCTGAAGAACAATTTCAACAAAGAAAATAAAGGAAAGGAAGTAGGCAATTAGCAAAGGTCTTACACTTTATTTGATATATATTTTGAAATAAAATTTGTAAAATGAATTAGAAAATATGCAAGGGTGCCATAGCCTCTTAAGCTATTAGAAGCTGTGCCATATAATTTTATCTTACAAAGTTGACTCGAAGGAGGTTGTTCTCTAACAACTTAGGTTGTCTTTTGGAGAGGGATACACTTTGAACTGCAAGAGAAGAAGAGGATATGCAATAACTTAACTCAACTCCAGCTTAAACTTCAGTTGGATGACAGATGTCACAGCCATATTACCTACCATCCTGGATGGAGGCCAAGTCACTTGGCTTCTCAGAGCACAGTTTATTAGTCTAAGCATCCTTAGAATGCCATCATAAAAACTCGCAGAGGGCTTCCCTGGTGGCGCAGTGGTTGAGAGTCCGCCTGCCGATGCAGGGAACATGGGTTCGTGCCCCGGTCTGGGAAGATCCCACATGCCGCGGAGCGGCTGGGCCCATGAGCCATGGCCGTTGAGCCTGCGCATTCGGAGCCTGTGCTCCGCAACGGGAGAGGCCACAGCACTGAGAGGCCCGCGTACCGCAAAAAAAACCCACAAAAAAACAAAAAAAACTCGCAGAAAGTGCTGTGCTTTTATGCACACACATAACTTAAGTTTCTACTTATTCAGACCTTTGAAGAAAAATGCTTGCTTTTCAAGATGATAAAAGTCTCTCAAATTTTTGTTTTTTGGTTGACTACTTGTGTTTAGTTTTATTTTTTATACCTCCCCTCACTTTCTAAGCAGATAGAGGTCAAATGGAAGGGAAAGTCCCTTCAAAGACTCCTTTATATTCCAGATGTAGGGTTTTTATCTTTTCTCAATAGCAAAGAATGTGAGAAACGTTTGGATATTTTTTTCTCAGGTTATTTCTCAGCTGAGTTTTCTTGACAGTTATCAGGAATTTGAAGAATATTTAGGCAAGTTTGTAGCTCACTTTATTGATAGAGTTGTGTCAGGGTTTTATCCTTAACAGAAAAAAGAATTCTCTGGTCAACTCAAACAGCTACATTATCATCTCGACTTTTTTTTTTTTTTTCTGTTGATATAAGTTTTTACACATGAATAAAGGACTATTTGTGCTTCTGGTATGAGTTATTTCTTTTTTCTTGACAATTTCTTGTGAGAAAAACTACAGGTCCCAAGAAGCCCATGGATACCAAAATCTGCAATGCTCAAGTTGCTTATATAAAATGACATAGCTCTGCATCTGTGGATACTGAGGGCCAACTGTACTTGCCTAAGTAAATAGAAAAAACAGTTGATGCCTTTTTATTGTTAAGAATTCCTGGAGGGACAAGTGAGGCTACATAGAAGGAATTTAGTCTAGAATGTCAGTATGTCAGTTAAGCCATTCAAAACATTTATTTTCTATATAATATGCTAGGTACCCTAAAAAATAGCTAGGTATGCTCTAACACTTTTTTATGTCTTTTTTTATATTGGTTGCCAGTCAAAATATATTTTTCCCTTCATTTTGAGTAAAAATATCAAGTCTTTGCATGCTGTTAAATCAAATGGAAAACAAAAGTACTGGTAACATGAAAATAAATAGAAAAAACTTTAGTTAGATTTTTAAAAAAATACTTTCTCAACATTTTAATGATGTTGTTAGAGATCAATTATCTATTTTATTATCCTTAGGCTGCTATTTAAAAATATCTCTATAGCATGCTTACTGATCTTAGTTTTTAAATAATTTTAGCAACTTTTCAGTATTTGACTTATACAGAATGATCTTATTTTGAAGGCTTTAGTTATACTTCTTGAAAAGAATAACTCATTTACTTTTTTTGTAATTTGCTGAAGATTAGGTAACTTTCCATGGTTATTTTCATGGATTGGTGCTTCAATACACACAAAATTGCCTTATTAAATTGTAATCATATAAGGTAGGTTAGTGAGGAACTTCAGAGATAATCTAGTCTCCCTCCTATCCAGGATTAGAAATCCCCCCCTAAAATAGTCATTCTTTGAGAACTTTTTTCACTCCTTAAGAGGAAGTCAAAGCTTATTCTTCTGTTTCCTTTCACGTTGCAGTATAAACCAATCTTGGATTAGATGGCAAGGTTCCCCCAAATGCTTTCTTCCTGACCTTGGTGGAAGGAATTTTATCTCTGACAGGGTTTCATAGTTCATTCTTTAATGGATAGAATATAAGTAGATGCTTTATAAATATTTGTTAAAATCTTAGAAGGAGGAAGTGACAAGAGTCATAAGTCATAGTCCTTGTCATTATTTCTCTTATTTAGGTATTTTTATTTGCAGTACCACTTCTTTTTCATAAATTTGAATGGAGATAAAATTTCCTACGTGGGTTTCCAAAGTTATTTTCCTATGGAGGCCTTAGAAATTAATAAAGATACATTGCTTTAAAATGGCTTTCTGCTACATTAAATATATATGCTTTGGAAACATACATGTTCTTGATTAAGTCAAATCTGTATTAAACATTAAGCTCTGTATTCACCTGGGAGAAGTTGCATACCCTCCCTAATTTGGAGGCACTCTGTCCCTTCTTAGTTCTCCCTGCTTCCTATTTCCCAACACTCTTAGAACTGTGCTGTGTTGAGAGAATTTGTAGAAGTTAATATGGTTCCACTTGGAGTTCACTGGCACTTCTCACTTCAAATAGGCTCTTCTAATAGCTTAACATTGCCGTCCTAGATGATTTTCTTCATTCCTATTCAGACACTGATCCTCTCTAATAAGCTAGAGTAGTGATCTCCAAGAAGAACGGATGTACCCAGGAGATGTATGAAACAATTCATTGGAGTTCATAAAGAAATACTTGAATTTTCATTTTCACCTATCTTTAATTCCTATTTTTGTATATTTACCAATGAATACAATATATTAGTACAACAATATAGTAATACGTACATATAATTTATAAAAATATGTGTATACAATGGAATGCGTAATCAAAAGCATTCACTTGGTAGAAATATGAAGTCAAAAAAATGTATGAAAGCTTCTGAGTTGGAAGTTCTGTCTATCAGGATGGCCAGCTTGCATTTCCAGCCCAGATTATAGTGGCTGCCTCACACAGAAATAATTTTACTATGTCTTTAAAGACTTGATAGATGTCAAATGAGCAAGTATGTATTAATTATACATAAGTGTGTAACTTGATAAGATGTAATTACAATTGCTTATTAGCTAAACTATATGGATGTAAAGTTGTGAACATCGCAATTCACCAAACTTATTGTACAAGGGACTTCCGTTAGTTTAAGTGAATAGTATATTGGTTACAAATACTAAGTACAGTATTTGCATTTGCATATGTACAAATACTAAAAGTACTACTATATGTAACTAACAGGTTAATTTCCAATTTAAAGGTTTCCAATAGGGCAATGTGTTAAAAAAAATTAGAGTTAAGTTTCTTCAGTCTGGTTTTATTTAGAATTTGAGAAAGGTTAAGTTTTTAATTATCTATCATGGAAAATTTTCAGATTTATTGAAATATTTCTATTATTAAGTCATACTTATATGGTGATATAATTATATACCTTATAAATTTTAATAGTAATTTTAAAGGTTACAGTATATTTAAGGTATGATAAATTTGTGGGAAAACTTCTTTCCTGAGAAATTTTAAATTAATAAATTTTAGGGCAAAAGTTAAAATGAAGATTTATATAAGCTCATATATTCTTATTTTTTTCATAGTGATAAAAACAAAAGAAGAACTAAAACAGTAAAGAAAACATTGGAACCCAAATGGAACCAAACATTCATTTATTCTCCAGTCCACCGAAGAGAATTTCGGGAACGAATGCTGGAGATTACCCTTTGGGATCAAGCTCGAGTTCGAGAGGAAGAAAGTGAATTCTTAGGAGAGGTATCTGGAACTATTTTAAAGCTTAGACTATTCATGTCATCCTGAATACTTTTGTTTATATGACTATTAGTAAAATATTATATTTTGAATAACTGAAACACCTAGACATAATTTAACAGAATGAATTTAGCTGCTGTTTTAAGAAAAAACTTATTGATGCCTCTATAGTACATGTATTTCAGTTTACTGAACCAATTTTACAACTAGTAATTAAATTATTTATTTATAGATCAGTTTTTCAGCCCTGTACTGTATCTGTAATGTGCTAGGGACTGAGGTATCAAAGGTCAATAAGGTATATTACTTTCTTCAAGGAATTTATAATCCACTGGGATACACACAAGTGAGTGAACAATTATAACATAGTATGGCAGATGCTCTTTCAGGGAAGTGCAGTAGGAATACATAATTGCTGTGCAGGGAAGGGGAAGTGGTCCATGGAAGGATCCACAGAGAAACTGGAATTTAGCATAGTCAAGGGAAGTAAAGTTCCTGCAGAGGGAATAACAAAATACTAGGGTTGCGGGGGTCTTGGACAACTGTATTGAAATGGGAAAAGAATGTGGTAAGAAATGAGTCTTGAGGGTTAAACATGACACCTTCATATATCATATTAAGAGTTTGGATATTATCCTGTAGATAATGGGAACAAATGACAGGTTTTAAAGAGACTAGCTTGATTGCATTTGTACTTGAGAAAAATATTTCTAGCTGTAATGTGGAGAATGAATTGGAGAGGGGCGGATGAGAGGCAGTTTTCCAGCTATTAACGTACTAAGAGAACTGCTTTCAGTTTTTTCAGTGTGGTTGGTTTTCCTGAGTAAATTAAATGTAATACCATGGGAAAAGCAACAATCCATAGAAATATTAAACTGAATGTTGTTAGCTAAGGAATCAAAGAGTGGTAAACCAGTTGGAAAGAAGGGTAACATAATGACTAGGAGCAGAGATTAGCGCCAGATGCCTGGTTCTGCATTCCTGACACTACTACTTCCTGGCCTTGGTCCTTGAGCAAGTTATTTAATATATTTGTACTTTAGTTTCCTCTTCAATCAAGTGAGAATGATAGTAGTATGCAATTCAGGGTTAGAGAGAGAATTAAATGTGTGTGTGTGTGTGTGTGTGTGTGTGTGTGTGACCATTTGGAACACAGTGCTTATAATTTTGAAAATGACTAGGGAAAATTTAGGAAGAATGAAGAGTACCTTAGTTGTTTTACATTTTTACCTCCCATAGCTAAATAGTGATTTATCATCATACAGCAGTTCTCATATACTTAAACCAGACACTGTCATATTTGCACATGACTTTAAAAGAAAATAAAAAGAATCATTTATTTCTATGGACTGATTTCCTTTGTAAATTTATTAGATATTCATATTATAACATGGTTCATATTGAAAATCCATTCTTTTTTTTTTCTTTCCTTTTCTGTTTTGAATCCTTAGCAGCATGATATGTTAAACAGAATTTTAAGTAAGACAGCCTTTGACTTATATTACGGCTCTTTCACTAACCAATAATGTGGGCTTAAACAAGTTTTTTAACCTTTTTCAGCCTTGGTATCCTTATTTGTAAAAGTTGAATAATAAGACCAACCTAGTAATTTTTTCCTGAGAATTAAGATAACATATGACATGGTTCTTAACACACAGTAAGCACTTCTAATTTGTTTTTAATCTCTCCATTTCAGAGTTTGTGAAGGTTAAATTAATGAATGTAAATGAAAATGTTTTTTAAACTGTAAAATGGCATATATATACCAGTTATTATTACAGACTTTTAGTAGTAAGTGCTATTTATGTAATGGCATATTTAACAGCCTGTAGCAGATAGGTGTTCAAGGGTCTACAAAATAAATGTCTTAGATATTCAAAGCCATTAACTCAATAAGAAGTTATATATACTTATCTCTTATTTAGTTATTGTCAAACATATGGGCAATTCTGCAGCATAACCTTGCTTTTGACCTAATAGCATTACTATTATAATTATCATTATTATAATGAAACCATTTAAGAGAATTTCTATATTATTGTCATAAGACAGTCCTTTGTCTCTTGGCTTTGTAGATTTTAATTGAATTAGAAACAGCCTTATTAGATGATGAACCACATTGGTACAAACTTCAGACCCACGATGTTTCTTCATTGCCACTTCCCCACCCTTCTCCATATATGCCACGACGACAACTACATGGAGAGAGCCCAACACGGAGGTTGCAAAGTAAGTTTTCAGTAAAATTTATTGTACCTTTATTGAATTATCTTGAATGATATATATGACATAGAATTTGAAGATACCATTATGGGTATTAACAGTCATCTGTTAGTATTTTCATAGCTTTTATTGAAGCTTTTAAATTGTTTGATACACTCAACTGTATACATGTAGTACTCACTCATCACAGTATGACACACAATGAAGCTTAGTTATGTTTTAATTTTACCTCTTAGAATCTAAAATATAGGAATGAGATAGCTAACGTAGTAGAATTTGGTGATGTACCTGTAGATATCTGAAATTATGATTTCCACTGTCATTAAGCCAAGTATTTTATGAATACGTAGGATAACAAGTATAGCATAGTGGTTGAAACCGTGACCATGAACATTACTCAGACAAACTTGAGTGTAAATATTAATCCTCTCACTTAAGAGTTGTATGGGGGCTTCCCTGGTGGCGCAGTGGTTGAGAGTCCGCCTGCCGATTCAGGGGACACGGGTTCGTGCCCCGGTCCGGGAGGATCCCACATGCCGCGGAGCAGCTGGGCCCATGAGCCATGGCCGCTGAGCCTGCGCGTCCGGAGCCTGTGCTCCGCAGCAGGAGAGGCCACAACAGTGAGAGGCCCGCGTACCACAAAAAAAAAAATAATAATAAAATAAAATATACCCACAAAGGAAACACCAGACCATGGTAATTTTATAGATTAATTCTCTCAAAATTTCAAAGAACAGATTTTTTTTTTTAATCTACACAAATTCTCCCAGAGAATAAAAAAGGACTAATTCTCAATATTTAGCTGGGCTAGTGTAACCTTGCTTCTAAACCAAAAGTTTAGTACAGGAAGGAAACAGGCCAGAATGAATTGTAAATAAAAATTGAAAATCCTTTATGAAATATCACTGAACTTATAAGAGACTTTCCTCAATCTTACAGAATGTAAATTCAGCAGATATCACTTTAAATGGATAAATATTAGAAAAATTCTATTTAAAATCAGAATTTAGAAAGAACTGTAAACTTTCTCTGTTTCTTTCCAGTATTATGCTTACTAGCATAGAAAGACAGGAAAAAGAAAGAAAAAAGGCATTAGGACTGGGAAGTAAATTGTCTCCATAGAAAAATTCCAATTAAACCATAATAAATTTATTAGAAGTAAAGAAAAAAAGAGACTTTAACAAGATGGTTGATTAACATTATTTTACAATAAAATTGCATTTCTGTTTATGAGCAATTAGGTTAGAAAACATAATTTTAACAGTATTTCTAATAGCAATAGAAATGATAAGATACAAAGGATAAATCCAACAAATGTGGAAAATTTGAGTGACTGAAGTTAAAAATTTCATAGAGAGATCTTAAAGAAAACTTAAATGAAGAGAATGCCATGTTCATGGCTAGTAAAATAATGCTGTAAAATATGCCATTTCCCCCTGAATTGATGTATTGGTTCAATGCATTTCAAATCAAAGTCCCTATAGGATGTTTTTGTGCGGTTTGATAACCTGAATCTAAAATTTAAATGGAAGAGCAAAGGAGAAATATCAAATATATGAATAATTAGGTAAACGATTTGCTTTTCAATATATAACATTGTAATAATAAAGACAGTGAGTTACTGGTTTATAGATAGACAGCCTGTACAAGGAAAAAGAAGTAGAGCACCAAACAGATCCTAGCAGATAGAATACATTTATTTATAGCAGAAGTGACATTGCAGATCATTGTGGAAAGATAGAATGATTAAATAAACAATGCTGAGATACGTGTTATCCATATAGAAAGTGAAGTTGCATCCATATCTCATGCCGTACAGAAACTTAGTTCAAGATGGATAGGATATAAATGCACAGAGCAAAATTTTTAAACTTTCAGAAGAAAATAAGGGTATCTCTGTGCTTGTATAAAAGCTCAGGAAATTTCTTAAAGAAATTTTAAAATTTCTTCTCTTTAAAAGAGAAGATTGATCCATTCAGTGACATTAAACTTAATTACTTGATTTCATCAGAATGTGACAAGATCCACATAGAACATAACTGCAATATATTTAGCCTCTATAGGATTAATATCAAAATAGGTCAAGACTTCCATCAGGAAAGTAATCAAGATTCTGAAAGGCAGTAGCATTTACAAACCACATATATACCTCACCTCCCACTCTCACCCGCACCCTCACACACAAGAGGGCTCATAAAGGCTGATAAAATGAACTTCATCTTTTGCTGGTGTCATTCTTATTTTACATTAAAGGCAGATCTGATCCTTGATCAATATGAAAAGCACGTAATCTTTATGCTCTGTACTGCACCTGGCACATTAAACTAATCATTGCTTTGTCCTTGATCATTTACAAGGTGAAATCTTGTTACAAGCTGAGCAGTTCTTCTTAAGTCTCCTCAATAGCCTCATCTGTGTTATCCCTCCTTTCTCCCAAGTTCACTTAGAATGTATGTCCTAATTCTATAAATCCTTTTGTGAGCATTCTGTTGGGATGTTGTCAGATAATGTAGTTTCCATATTAACTGGTGCTATAAGAGCCTCAGATTCAATTGGGTCCAAAACTTTATGACATATGGATTTGGAAGGAAAATAGTAGTGAGTACACTCAGTGGGACGACATGACCAAAAATGATAGGTATTACCTAATCATTAAAAGGAGAAAAACAAGAACTGCAGTTCCTGGCAAAAAAGAAAGACTCCCTCTCCCAAGAAGGCAGGGATTACAACAAAATATAGAGAGAGTATTTCTAAGGGGAGGTTGCAAATGTTGGAGGGCATTCCTAGAACATTTTAATTATTGCTATTTTATGCAACATGAACTTTCAGTGTTTTATAAACCTTACAGGAAAGTATTTATTTTCTGATAACAGAGTTTAGTCTATGTAATGAGTAATGAATTATGTAAGTAGACGGACAAAACAAGTTCTCTTTTGAAATAGCAACACTGTCTTCATTTATCATTAAATATTTTCTGATACCAAAGAAGGGAAAAATGCTTTAAATAAAAGTTTCTCTTATGTAAGGTGTGCCTATTCCTGTAGGCACACCTCCATGTAGGTGTTTTCTCCATGTAGGAGAAAAGATAGATTAAAAAACAAATTATAACATGTTTATTTATATATGTGATATATGTCATCATTAAGTGTGAGGAAGGTCTGCTTTAGCCATCAAAGCTCTACTTAACTCAATTTAATGTTATTTTTGCCATAGCATGATTAACGTTTTAAAGTTTTATTATAGATTTGTGTTGTAAGGAAAACAGACACAGGGCTCTTGAATTATAGTAATTATTATTGTTCTGTCTTATGTTGTTTCTTAGAAAACATAACACAGGTCACAATGTGTAAGTCAGTTTGTGGATGACTTATTTCTCGTATTTTTCTCAAAGCAACAGAAAACAACTAAAGTAATAGTAAGGGAAGGACATTTAAGATGTCTTAAATTATGCTTCCTCTCCATGAGTGTGAAAAATAAAGATTGAAGAATTGGGTATATTTAATTCATTAGTCATGCATATTAGAAAAAGACACATGAATGACTTTGAATATAACATTGTTTGTATTTTGAAGTTTACTAGATTTAAATGCCTTTGTCTAAAAGCATCTAAAACTGACCTGATTGAGCTATTTTTGACTCGGCTTTTTGTCCAATAGATTTTATCAATCAGCATCAAATCACTAACATGTATTATTTAATATTTAATATTATTTCAGGCTTTAATCCTTTTAGGAACTTTATCTTATACATTTCAAAAATAATACCCTCACATAATGAAATATATGTAAAAACAGGTGTTTGTAAGGTCAAAATGACTTTTCTTCTCTCTCTCTTTTTTTTATTCTCAAGTATTCCATTCAAAATCCTTTCATTTGTTTTTCAGGTTGGTGAGGGTTTTTTTCCTTAAATGATCAGCAATTCTAATTATTGCTATTGTTTGCTTCATAGGGTCTAAGAGAATAAGTGATAGTGAAGTCTCTGACTATGACTGCGATGATGGAATTGGTGTAGTATCAGGTAAGAATTTCAGAATTATTTTATAGTGATAATAAGGAAGTGTGACTCATCATTATTTACCAGTAAATATGTAAATAGATAGATAAATATAATGAGGTACAAAGGACTTGCCTCTTTATGCCCCCTCCCCTGAAACAGCCTATGGCAGTTTAAACTGAATAATTCTAGTTGCTGGAATACCTGTACCAGTTCTTAGATTGAATATTCTATTGAAAGATGTCTCATAAGTAATACCAGTTTTCTATTTTTAAACTACTAAGTAATAAGGATTTCACTATAAATTTGAGAAGTTATATAACTGAAACTTCTTTATACCTCACTAACTGTGAAAAAAATCTTTCTAACATCACTAACATACCCAAGTATGTCAAATATTTGAATCCACTTTTTGAAATTTTTTTCAATGTTGTTATGTGGATTAGTATCAGGTGCAGCTACATTTTGAAATTATGGTATTGTGGTTTAAAATATTGCCTCATTTATGGTTAGAAATTTATCTGATGATTTAATATTTTAGGTAAGTAGCTATTTTTTAATAAATTCTGGCAAAATTTTTATATATATTATACTCAAAATATTATAAAAATGTTTGATTCTCTTCTTCTTGGAGGTTAATTAGCTCAGCAAATTTCATAAGCATAACTAATTTTATCATGAACAAAATATGTTTTATTGTATGTAAGACGTGCTGCAGTTGCATCAGTGACTGATAGTTTTTGTTGGACAGTTTTTGGTAGAATATGAGTCAGTTTGCATGCTACCAGTGTACTACTTTTAAAAAACCCAATGACTATCTTTTAGTCTTTATTTTTTGCACTAAGGGTTAACAATATATTAATTCACTAAGACTGCAAAAATATTTTTCATGTTTTATGGTTTGTGAATTAAACCTTAAAAAGTCATATTTCTCATGATCTCTTGCTTGGAGATCGTTAGCAGTTTTTTCCTGCTTGTGTTCTAGTCCTTTAATTGACTTTTCAACTTCTTCTCTTTATTAAATATCTAGCCACATCAGATTTTTTCCACCCAAAATATTTTCCTTCAGGTCATTAAAGCTCTTCATCTTGATGCCATTTTTGGCATATCTCAATTCTTTTATTTTCTACTTCCAGGATGACAAAAAAATGATCATGTTATTATGTTTCCATTCTGTTAAAGGAACTGTATCTTTTGAAAAAAAACTTTTCAGGAATCATTCATTATTTTGGTTAATACTCTCTGGAAAAATTTTTGTTGTTACAGAATCGTATTTCACAAACCTACACAATTCAAAGTGTTTACCCTGGGTTCATTACTTTTTACTACCATGAAACATCATGGTTTCTTGTCTCAATGTTGTTATTAATTTTTTTACTATATAGTGAATCATTTAATAATCCATTGAGGAAAAAAGACTGCTGTAATATCCTATATGTTGTTATTTTGAAATCCAGTGTAATTTTTGAGACATGGTTTTTTCATCATATACCATATTTTAATAATGCATTTGAAAGATAACATTTCAAAAACTACAGTACCATAGTCCTGATTTTGATGTTTATAAAAAGGATATGGAGATAACTTCAAATGCTTGGAATATATCAGAATTTACATATTTACTTCAAATGGTATTCAGAGTGCTTTCTAATATTGTTTATTTCTTAAAGAAATAACTATAGAGTATAGAAATTAGAAACTTTTTGTCAAGGTAATCATTTTATTTATTTATTTATTTTATTTTTTTAAATAGATCTTTATTGGAGTATAATTGCTTCACAATACTGTGTTAGTTTCTGTTGTACAACAAAGTGAATCAGCCATATGCATACATATATTCCCATATCCCCTCCCACTTTTTTTTTTTTTTAACATCTTTATTGGAGCCTCCCTCCTTTATAATTGTTGAGAATTATTTGAAGCTCTTCTAGGTCAATGAAGAAATGAAAATGTTTTTAGAATAAACTTGAATCTTTTACTGAAGATTATTAACTGTGTAAAAAAGTTTTACTCTACCTAGCATAGGGCCTTGGACATAGTAGCTCTCTAAATATTTGAATATTTGTCTTTCCTTTTCAATTTAAGTGTTTATAAATTATTATTTTATCTTACTGTTATGCTTTATTCATTATGCTTTACATTTAGTATATTCAGAGCTTTTCAACTTCACTAACATTTTATGTTTTTTCAGTGAAATACAAAATACAAGAGATCTTAGTGTATAGAGAACTATAATCTTAATATTTCCACCTTTAGATTATCGACACAATGGTCGAGATCTTCAAAGCTCAACATTGTCAGTGCCAGAACAAGTAATGTCATCAAACTATTGTTCACCATCAGGGTCTCCTCACCGAGTGGATGTTATAGGAAGGACTAGATCTTGGTCACCCAGTGTCCCTCCTCCACAGAGGTAAGACAGCATAACATTTTATTTGTAAGATGATATTATAAGCCTATTTATCATAAAATATTATTGGAAATTTTCAAAGATAATAAATTCTTGTAGAAAAAAGTTACTTAGGGAAAAACATACCTGCTATCAATAGCTTATATAATGAGAGTAAGATGAAATATGGGCTACTTTGTAACTTTAGATGACCTATATATAATTTTATAGTTATAGTTATAAAGAAGATCCAACTTCCAGTCTCATATATATATATTGAGCAGATCTAGTTAGACTGAACTAATCATACTCATGAATGATATAGATATTGATAATTTAAGGAATTGGAAAAAAGAACATTTGATGGAGCTATACAATTAAGAACAATCATGAGAAGACTAAAAAGGAATGCATGGGCAATGGGAAGAATTGCTTGGAAAATCTGCAACTCCAAGTCTTATGCTTAGTGGAAAACTCTGATCAATCCAGTTAAGTACAGAAAGCCTTAATGGAGTAAGAACCGTGGAAATAATGTGTTTCCTAACAGGAAATATGTGCATAATTTCACATTTTATATACTTGCAATGTTTAAGGAAATTTGAACTCTTAGAATGACAGCCTTATAACACTTATTTTAAATGAGTAATTGAGTTAGTTTTAGGCATTTAGACTTAGAATTTTAAATTGTAATCTTAATTTTATACATGGTATTGGATTATTTAAGAGAAAAGTTTTATTATATTTATAAATTTAACAACTTATAAGGATATTAAGGACTTTAAAAGTGTTAATTTAGACAATTAATTGAAGAGAAAATCTAATATGTTAAGTTAACAAACATAGTTTAAAATGTTTGAAGATGTTGAATTAACTAAATTTATAAATGGGACTAAAATTATTAAAAGTCTTCTGAAAAGTAATTGTTTAAATGTGGTAGGCCTATCAGTAGAGTAATAAGATTTGTAATCTGAAATTTAAAGTGCAAGAGAGAAAGAGATTTTGAATTTGTAGCTTTAATAAATTAAGTCCTTTCTTGTTAAAAAAAAAAAAAGAATGCTTGACTTTTACCAGGGAAAAACTATTTGAACATGCCAATAGAAAATTGGCATGGGTTTTAGATTAGATTCACCTGCACATAATAGAAAGCCCGTAATAACAGGAGCTTATGTAAAAGGTTTATTCCATCATGAAAAAGAAGTATATAAGTAGACAATCCAGGCCAAGAATGGCAGCTTAAAAAAATAGTCATTAATCAATTCTAAAGACATCAGTTTAGATTTTAAAAGAAATAGCAATTAATATCCCTAAAATAAGATCCACCAATATATTGTCTATAAGCAACATGCTGAACTCATTTTCACCATACAAATCTATTCCTCCTCCTGTGTTACACATATCGCTATCACTGCTATACACCTGGGAGTCATCCATTCATAGTTTTGATAATCCTTATCTCCATCCCCATTGATATTAGCTTACTTTTATGTTATACCTCTGTTATAGCAGCAATCTCCTATTAGTTAAAACAAAACAAAAACCTTGGACTTGACATTACAGTGATTTTTGTCTTTTTCTACTATCTTTATTAATAAACTTTGTTTCTTAGTATAATATGTGACTATGGTCTATTAAGATATTTAATGGATCTTGCTATTTCAGTCGGAATGTGGAACAGGGACTTCGAGGGACACGCTCTACTACGGGACATTATAATACAATTAGCCGAATGGATAGACATCGTGTCATGGATGACCATTATTCTCCAGATAGAGACAGGTAAATATGATCAAATACTATTAGAGCTTATTATAATTGCTGCCTTCAGGAAGAAGGTATTACCATAAAATATTTTCATCCTGAACTTGGGTATTTCTTATCTTAGTTTCTAAAACCATATGCTTCCTTTACAATACCTACATTGATTCTTGTGATTGCCACATCATTAAAAAAAATTAAAGAAACAAAAATAACCTTTTGTTTGGTAAGAAAAAAAATTCATTTTGCTCTTTCAATTTTGGTACTTTGTTAAATCAAACCAGTTAAGTTAGTGAATTTGCACATGAGGTTATATTGATAATCATGAGGAAAACAAGATGTTTTATTATTTTTACCGTATCATAACCAATTATCATATAGAAAAATACTTTCATGAGACAACAGATTTAAAGTCTTTTACATTCATGTGGGAAATAAGTGTGACTTTTTTTATATAAAAGTGTTAAGACAAGTTTGGTTTGTTTAGGAAACAGACACAAAAACTGATTCATGAAGAGGTTTTTCCTCATGGCTTTCAGTAAACCTTTTAAGCAACTTAAAGAATCATGCTTGTCAGCTGCTGTACTTGAGAGACTTCTCTGAATTTGCTCTATTAAATGTGATATACTTAGAAGTAATATGCTATGTTTCAATACATACGTTAATTACTACTAATTTTTTTAAGTTAAGCAAATTGGTTAACCCTCTAATTCATGGTTTGGTTACATATAAAATAGAAAATGCTATGATATATCCCCAAAACTATTAAAAGGATTTAAGATAAAGATTAGGATAGAAAGCTTAAATTACTATTCAGAGAATATTATGATGAAATAACACGGGAACTCAGAATTCTCTTTGTATGCATCCTAAACTAATTTTAGTAAAAACACTTGTGGGTTTTCAATCAATTGATATGAAAATTTGCTGTCAATATTTATATATTTAATTGTTTTATCTAAATCTAGGGTTATACTCAGTTCATGCTTATAATTTCATTGTGTTGGAGTACACTTTTCCAAAAGAAAAGATAGAGAATATCTTAGTCTTTAATAGTGTCAAACAAGTGTTGGCTTTTGTGTCTGAGATCTAAGAAGAAATAAGAACTTATTAAATTAATATCTTTCTTAGTGTTGAATGAAAGTTAATGTAATGTTTTATTTCTTTTTCATTTATTTGACTTTTTCATAGTGGTCTGTGTCTTTAGGGGTAATTATAGGCATGCTACCTATAGAAATTGATGTTTATCAAGTACAATAATAGTGAATATGTTAGTGTGATTAGGAAGGAGTCATATTAGGGTGGATAAATGAGTTTTTTGATACCTAACAGAACTTAAGTAATTTTTGGAAATTATTTATGTAATGATTCATAAACTCCTTGTTCATTGAATGTTTGTTAAACAAATGATGAGGGAGAAAAGTCTGAAATGGCTTTAAATCTTCCAAGTTTATATAAAATGGACTTGATATTTTCTCGGAAGATAATACGGTATGGTCTAAATCTTGCAGAGAAGAATAGAATAAAGTTAACCTCTAGAATTATACTTACAAACAAAAATAGTCATTATCATATCAAATACATAATATTTTATCGGTATTTTAAGACATATAGCCCTAAGGCTAGTGACCAGAAAAATACTATTAAATCCTTGGTATTAGTTAATATTTGAATTAGTCATAATTGAAATGTCATATTTTCTTGTTTACTTTATGAATCTTTTAGTTTAGCAAAAATGTTCAAGTAATTCAGAAGTTTTGGGGAAAGATGATCCATGTGGTTTCATTACTTTTGTGTTGTACATTACCAGATCATAATTACTCTTAATTGTGAGCTGTTTCAAATCCTTTTTGAAATAAATAAAATAGAATTTCATTTAAATAGGACTGTAAAACCATTTCTAATATATTAATTTTGAATTATTTTTGTAATCATTATTCATTAACATGAAGAATCAAAAATAAAAATACAGTATTATTCATGTAGGTAGTCTATCATATTATTAAACAATGGGTTCTTAATTTCTGTTTTATCCTAATATTCTAAAAGATTTTCTATAATAGAATGCATGTGAAAGCATTGTAATTTTTATGTACTATTTAGAAGGTAAGAATACTTTAGACCTCTTACAGTGAACTTTCATGAACAGCATTTTATAGAGTCAATCAATAATACTGTTGATTAAAAAGCCTAAAAGAGAATTTCCTTTGAGAGAGTAGGTAAAATTTAGGTATTTTGAGTGGTGCATTAACCTTTCTTGTCAGTAAGAATTGACACACTGACCTTAATAGTATTTCATGGAATGTACTTTTTTCATAGGATTTGGAACCAAATGGCATTGGGTTTGAATTTAAGCTTTTTGCCACTTGCTAGCGGTGTATCTTTGTGAAAACGAATCTCTTTAACACTTGATTTCCTTATCTATAAAATTAGAATATTAGTACCAACTTTATAGGGTTGTTGGGTAGATTAAGTGACATAGTGCCTCCAGTTGCATGGTACTCAAAAAAGGTGCCTTACTCTTAACATTTTAAAAGGATTTTTGGCTTACAAATAATTTACATTTTAATGTGCTTATCAATTAAGCAGAGAAATCAGTCAATTCAGGTGTTTTTTAAAGACGTTTGTAGAGAATATAGGACATGAGTTGTACCTTGAAAAAATGGGCATGTTTATTCAGGCAAGAACAAAAGCAAAGACACAGAGGCAGAATACACATGTACATCAGAAAGACCCAGTACGAAGGATGCAGGACTTGGAAACATATTGGAAAGTGTGAATGAAGATAATGGCTTTTACATTGGCTATATTGGGTGAGAAATGATGCTATTTGACATTAATTTGTAGTACCTGGTTAAACTTAAGGGTGTAACAATATCCTTTTCTTATAGGTAACATAAAAAAAATTATATATAAAATTTTGATTGGATCTTTGCACATCTCACTTTATTTTCATGAGTCAAATTCCTATTATGTTTTGAAAAGAAAGTAGGTTCATTACAAGTAATTCAGAAACTTGGATACAAGGATATTAACTAAAAATGATTAATTGTAATGGCCATCTTTCATCTTCCTTTTCATCGCCCATACTTTTTGTATCATTGTTTCTCTGGTAAATCCTGGTAACTACTACAACAAGGAACATCATTTTTCTGGGGCAAACCATGTGACTTTAGTATTAGAAATATTTCAAGAGCTTATTTGTTTATAGGAGTTAATTTACTATTAGAATAAGTGTGGAGTACTAGATACTATTTCTGTAGCATGTCAGAGATATCTTACAGTACATATTTTTATGTCTATCCTAGAGACCGAAATATATTGGTTGCATTTAATTCCATAGAGTATACTTTTAGCATAAAAAGAAAAAAAACATAACACTGGCAGAAGATATATTACTTCATAAACTTTTTTCTTCTATGCATTCAATGAATGCAGTTATATTCTAAAACGAAAAATGCCCTGTTATATGGATCTCTGAAATACCTCACACACATGCTATTTCTCTACTCTTTATCAGGCAACCAGCTACCAGAAAGTGCCAAACATACCTATAACTATTTATAGTCTTTTTGTGGTCCTTTCAGTTATAAACTATGAGAGAAATGCATCTCTGAAAGTTTGAAAATATAGAGAAAGTAAATGAAAAGAGAGAATTCATCGTACAAAAACAATACAACTTTTTATTCATTATATTTCAGGAATATATTTTAGCTTATTTAAATCATAGTATATTTTAGGAACTATAAGGTAGCAAAACAGTAACAATATCAGAGACAGAGCAGAAAGTTTGGAATTAGGTTGAGATTGTTGGAAACTTAGCTTTCAAAATCTACAGGTTACTTAAGAATAAGATTTTTATCTCCTTTTGTAGTCCTTTTTATGTATCTGCTAGTCCTAAAAGGTAACATTCAGGCTAATGAAATATATAGAAGGATAATTCATTAAAAATATAATTTTGTTTTGTCTTCAAAGATTATATTTCTTAGTAAGAATCAGAGTGTGTCAGGAAATTGGATCAGTAATCTTGTTCAGTTCTTTGAATAGTGATATTTTTTTCTCATGATTTGAGAATCTGTTACTTCATTTCTTTCTCTTTTTAAAATTTAGTCACTTTTTTAGTTTTCTATTTTATTCTTTTACAGTGAATTACAGCTCTGCTCAATTTTTTAAAAATTTCAAACAAATTGGATTAAATGCATTTTGTAATATAACAACTTTAACTCATTATGAATATTCATGCCTATTGCTTAGATTTTATAATATCTGTTAATTTGGGGAGAAAAGTAAGAATACTTTAATAGAGAAGTATAAATAAAATGTTTTTAAGTTGTACTAATTGGATGCAGCAAAGGACTTCTGTATCTTAAGTGGATTTTAGGGGGCTTACTAAAACAGTATGGTTAATTTGTGTAATATTCATAGATGCGTCTTTATACTTTTCACTCCATCTCAAGGGGGGATCATGACCAGATTAGGTTAAGAGGTATAACATATCTATAGAAAAGTATATAGTCAGGGTTCTCCAGAGAAACAGAACTAGTAGGTTGGATAGAGAGAGAGGGATTTATTTTGAGGAATTGGCTCACATGAATATGGAGGCTGAAAAATTCTACCATCTGCTGTCTGCAAGGTGGAGACCCATGAAATGGTGGTATAATTCAGACCAAGTCCAAAAGCCAGAGAACCTGAGAGATGATGGTATAAATCTCAGTCAGAGGGCCAGAGAGTTATGAGATGTCTAGCTCAAAAATGAGGCAGGAAAAAAGGGAAAAATTCCTCCTTCTTCTTACTTTTGTTCTACTCAAGCTCTCACCAGATTGCCTGATGCCCACCCACAATGAAGAGGGAAATCTACTGATTCCACTGATTCAAATGAGAATCTCATCCTGAGACACCTTCACATACATACCCAGAAATAATGTTTAATGTGGACACCCCTTGGCCAATTAAGTTGACACATAAAATTAACCATCACAAAAAGGGAAATAAAACAAACTGTTGCTTGATGAAGGTGATTC